ACACACACACACACACACACACACACACACACACACACACACACACAGAAATGGACTAGTAGCCAGGGAGTCTACAACCTTTTTCTTCCAGCATAAAATTGTTTATCTAACCCTCATCAAAATATCTAAACTCGACTAAATCAAAAGGTCCTCCCCAAATGTAGACTCCTGAAATGAGTGACTCGACACACCTCTGGGTAATGTAGTTTTAGTGGTGGCAGCTTAAACTGTTTTCTTCTCTACACAGGTATAACTGAAAAGGGGGAGAAAGAAAGCTCGCACATGTTCCAGCATCTGCACTGAGTGATTTCTGCAGAGATCCATCATCCGCAGCATCCATGAATGATGCTTCATTTGCATAGCGGGCCAATGCCAAATCGGTGTCAGCGTGAGCCAGCTCTCGCAGGAGGAAACACTGGCGTTTTCAATTGGAATCAGCGGATGAAAAATCCGCAGACAGCCGCTATCTCAACAGAGACAGACAGGGGGAGAGAGGGATGAACTCAAACAAGCTGCGGAAATTTGGGACACCAGCAGTCAATGCCCATAACTGTGTGTGTGTATGTGTGTGTGTGTGTATACAAACTCACACAAGCAAAAATACACACAACGTCACATAAAAGAGGAGAAGAAGAGGGGCGCCGGCAAGATGGATCATGGGGAGAGAGAGAGAATGAAAAATTTAAGAAGGAGCCGGAAGAGGGTTGAAAGAATATTTTCCCACAGTTCAATAGAGGATGTGATGGCGTGCAGCACTTGGCCAACACGTCTCTTCTACTCACACTAGGACGATGTTAATGGGCGTGAACGAAACAGATTTTCTTTTCAGCCACAGTCAGCTACCCACTTCCCACATCATTCTGTCTGATACATTTCTAGGTGTGTCTGGACTTAATTAACTGAAAGGCCAGCGTATTGATCGGCTTGCAGTGTGAGTGGAGGAGAGAGAGTCAAGCTTGTTCGCATGAAAGTGGAAAGTGTGAACTCGACTAAGTATGTGCTTCCCTGTCCAGCGAAATTGATTATCACTGGAAATCAGGATGCTACAACAAAGTAATGGCTTTGGGATTTAGCTGCAACACTGGTTGTGGTGAAGCGAGAACAGTGTGGAAGTGTACAGAAACCAGGGTCCTCTTAATGCGAGTAAATGAGTCTGGTGTGAGGAATGTATTTTTGACAAAATGACCAATATCTGTCTTACTTTGACTCCGTGTCCCACGTCATCCAGCAGCGTGTAGTCGATGGGCTTTCGGATGTAGCGCACCGGCCGCTCCATGTTGCCGGGCGCGATGATCTTGTGCGTGCGTGCGGTGTTCTTATTGGTGGTCAGGATGCCGATCTCTCGACGGGCCACCTTCTCCTTGTGGATGTCCACCGTCTGCAGGAGGTGAGAAACGAAGGAGGACATGAGAGGTGGGGTACAACAGACTTTGAGGGTTTACTCTTCATGTTTCAAATGCTCAAAATGATCGAAACGTATTGCATGCGTTTTAGACATAACAGGCATATATGATTTGTACGTTCCCCCTGTTTTGTAGAGAGAGAGAGAGATTTGATCATATTTCACTAAAAGGCCTCCCTGTGCCTGTTGCACTTATTTGCTTTTAATGCAAACCCAATACTTCCTCCGTCTGTTTTACATTAAAAGCCTCCCAGGAGCTCAGGGGGCAGAATCACCTCACCTCCCCGGTGAGATTTTATTGTAAAATATGTTTTTTTTAAATATATTTCCGAACCCGTCCTAAAATGACTGCGACAGAAAGAACATGGCCCCGTTTGAAATAAGAACACCTGACGGGAATCGCTCCCATCTTTTTATTTTAGCATATTTATTATTAAAATATATATAATTTGTGTATTTATATTTTTTGAGACCGAGTCAATACTCGAGTGTTTTATATGAGAATTTGCAGGAACAATTGCTGCTTCCTGCTGAGTCCACCGTTGTGTGACATCGGTTATCAACAGAGACAAACTATTAACATGTGTGTGTGTGTGTAAAAGAAGATTATCAAAGTAATGATAGTTTAGAAATCCAGCCAGTTTATCATTATTAAATCCTCCGACCTCCCACTGCTTGGACACACACACTCTCGGTCTATCCTCTGAACTCCTCCTGACCCACTCTGCTCCGTTGGCCGACACCCTGGGGCCCGTTTGACGAAGCTCTCCTCTAACCTCTCGCAACTGAAAATACCAGCGACCTCCGTTTCTTCCGCGATTACGGTCGTTATCGCTCGCAGCACCCGTTCACAGCAGGTCTTAACACTGGCTCTTTAATTTACAGATGAAACTTGAATGATTGAGGGATTAATGGAGGGGGAAGCTAAACGAAACGTGGGGAAGGACGGACGGCTTTATCTCAGGAATATGAGGTCACGCTTGGGAGAAAAGCGCTGACGAGTGTTTTAAAGGACACACATGAACCCATGAATGTTGTTAATCATACTCTACATAGTGTACCTAGCCCTGCATCTGAGCATTGATTGTCAAGGAGACTAATTTGATATTAAACTAAAACATAAACACAAGTGTGTGTTCATGTAGGTATATGTGAGGGAATGTTTTGGAAGTAGACGTTTGGTTATTATGTGTGTGTGTGTGTGTGTGAGTCCCAGACAGCAACAAGGTCACTCATCAATCACCGCTCAGCCACCGCCTCTCTCTGGGGAGATGAAGAATCCAACTGAGAGATTGAAAGTCCGATAGGTGTTGTGAAGTTGACTATATATATATATATATATATATATATATATATAGACGACATGCTAGGCTCTTTTTTTAGGAGAGGAAACTGAGGCAACACGCCCAGCTTCGGCTGGGAAGTAAGAAAGAAAAAAAAAAAAGAAAAGACATGCCTATTTCCTGCCAGTGACGGGCGAGTAGAGGTGGAGCGCAGATTAGAGAAAGCGAGAACAAAACTCCGAAGGGCGCCGAGATAAATTACTGTAAAGTGAAACTAAGAGCTGATTCTGTTGGGCTGTCATGATCAAAAATAAATGGAAGAAGAAAGTAAAGTGGGGATGGGACAGATGCTGAGAACATTTTCAGTTTCTAGATTTAAAATGGACACTTTTACTAAACTGTCACAACCCATCTTGTGTCTGTACTGTAATAACATTAAAGAAGCATCCAGAGTCACTCTCGACAATGAGGAACAGTTGAAGCAGCAGTGCAGCAAGCACGGTGCACATCTGCAGCTGATGACTGGTCTCTGTTTCCTCTCCACATGCATTACTGAACACAAAGTTAGGCCATCTTTATGACACATAGTAGCTGTTACCTAATCCTTGATGACTGACCTCTGTGCTCTCTCAATCTAATTGTCTTTTGTAACATCTTTACTCCATTAAACATCTGGATGTCTGGTCAACCACTGCAGTGTGTTTCTGTGAGCAGATAGCACCGCAGTAACTTCCACTACTGGCTCTATATCTCTAGATCTGTACTTTAGCAAAAGGATTGGTCTCTGCAGTGCAGTTGAAACAACTTGTACATGTTTGTGTACTCTTGCTGAAGCGTTATTGGCTTGAGGAAAATATGATGCAGTCTGTATTGAAACTACGAGGCGTGTCGGTGAGTTCATGCATCAATGATCTCGTACGCGGCTCAGTAACACGTCTACAAATTCAGCCAGTTCGACAGTGGACATAATATTCTGGAGTTATGAATGAAACCTCACAAGTTTCCTGCATCAGTGTCAATATCCTTTTTTGAATTTTACCCTCCGATATAACGCGATACATCCTGCACTTGAGAGGATTTGGCCAGTTGGAATGGAGCAGATGGAGACGCAGGTGTGTGATTGAGCTGATGAGTTACGACTACTTCAGAGAAATAAGGATCGGATGAATCAGAAAACAAACGACAAATCAGCGGGACTCAAGGAAATAGAAAAGAGGAGTGAAGAGACTTATGGGAAGGTACTTGTGTTTGCTATCGCAACACAATCCCTCGCGCTGCTTTGGGGGGGAGCCGCTCTGCTTTTACTAAACCCGCTGTGGTTTTGCATTTCGTGGCATTTCTGGTCGAATGTTGTGACAGCCTCCTCTGCAGCGTTTAAATCCTACAGAGACGGGGGTTTGGGATTTGGCAGCAAGTGCTCAGCTACCTTTTACTTTCTAATCCCATTTTAACTCTTTCGGGGGCAGAAATTCGGGAAGCACAAAAAATAAACACCTGGCACAACCAAGCAAGATAAGAATGTAATTTCTTGGAAGCATCACCACTAGAATAATGAATCAAAGCCCCGGGGACGCACCCGTATGAGAGGCAGCTCAGAGTAAATGAACGTTCCTCTACCTGTGAGAGATCTCTACATTGAGACACTTTCAAGGACAGGAATCTTGATATGATAGTACCTTTCATACAACCTTTTAGGAAATAAATAAATAACTTTAAAGAAGGCTGTATCTGGTTAGCTTTACCAGTTCTGCAGCTGTAGTGCATATTGGCTTCACTGGTACTCTCATAAGACATGAAGCCATCGTTAATGTTATTAGTTCCACCTGTGCTTTAACTGCTTTAGTAATCAAAATGACTGCTGTGGAAAAATAAGTATTTTAAACAGGATGGATAGACCGGGGCTGATGTGTCTCCCCCTTGGTTGACTCAGTACCGACTATAGTTAAGTGACTATAAACTGGCTTTCTGTCCAGTGTGGTTACAAGTCCCTGTAGAGCTATTGTACCCGAGGCAGAAGTAAGTATCAGCCGAGCAGCTCAAAGAAGGATAAAAAAGACTTTGGTTGTTCTTCATTAGACCTCGCCCGACTGTACTCCATCCTGCTGCCTGTGGAGTAAAGCGGAAGCTCAACATGCTAACCAGGCAAGAGAGGCTGGCGTCAGGATTTCACTTCATCCCGACAGCACACGGGGGGGGGGGGGGGG